TTCCTAGGAGATTAATCTGAGGCCAATTGACCAAAATCTTTCTTTGTTATTAATTTTTGTCTCATATTAATCAATATATGTTGACATTAATTGCAATATATAACAAAGTTTTTTTTTGAAAGATCATAACCTAAAATGATTTGACCATTTGAAAAGATAGGTGAAATAAAATAAATAAATAAATAAAACCCAATTGATGAAATTGATGAAATCCCTTTTTTCAATTTTTTTTTCTTTCTGTTGACTGGACCACGTGATAATTATTTTGGCTACAATTAGAACACTTGTTGAAAATTTTGTCGTACTTCGAATTTTAGTCTAGTTCATTGTATAGAGTCACTACAAAATAAGGGATTGTTTTTGTAATAGTATTTGGACCAGAATTCCAAACCCACAGTTGGTTTAGAGAACCATCAAATCAAATAGGGGGTGGGCTGAGCTACAAGCTGCAAAGGGTTAGATTTAGCCCTCCTAAAATAGTTTTGACAAGTTTTCAGAACCCATGTCAGCTAATGTATCCATCATTTTCACTTCCAAAGTACCCAGGTGAGACCTACCCAAGGCATACAAAAATTTTGCTGCCCGTGAGAAATTTATTTCTAGTGGGTTCCAATTAGTGTCCGTTTGACATTGCTTATTTAGGGTGACAAGTGATTTTTTAAAATTTATGGGAAGCCTAGCCCGTTTGGTAAATGTGTGAGAAAATCACTTATTATTAAAAATTATGTGGAAATCAATACCAACAACACTTTCAACAAAAAGTTTACCAAACGCCAAACTGTTTTCTCTCACAGCTAATTTCTCTCACAACTAATCTGATAGCAATAATTTTCCCAGCATAGCAATACCAAACTGGAATTACCAAGATTAGGTACATAATTCAATTAAAGATCGAGTTAAGGAAGAAATCTGCTTAGAGTTTTTGAAATAGACAACACTTGAAAAGGCCTAAAACGAATGAAGAAGATAAAATCTGTACACTAATCTCTCGAGTTACTGCACACAAATATTTGCTTACAATGTAACAGTCTAGAAATGCTCTCAACGTTCTGCACCTATTGGCTAGCTAACAAAGCAGCACATCTACTTAATTTGCAGCCAATCGGACAACCATTTCGCCCATTAATTACGTAACAAAGGTTCTGATGAAGCTGTCCCATGACCTGACACCGATAATGACAATAATTTCCAAGCAAAACAATAATAAATAAGCAATGAAATTGGAAGAGAAGTTCCCACATCGATAACTGATGCAATCATACGTCTGGCAGGTCGACAGGTCTACATCACGGAAGTCGGAGGAGCTTGTTAACACCTGAGTCTAGAGCATCAACATTTCTCCTCAAGATTTTTCTGGACATACATTAAGGATTCCAAAACAATACCAACATCGCAAAAGCAGAGCACTCTTCAGGAATAGCAGTTCAAGGGAATTCTAAATTCTTAACTGTATTTAACAATTTTTATCAGCTGCCAGCCGATTGATACTCGACTGAATATACAGCTGCCTTCATATCAGCACTTAGTAGGATGAATCCTTGATTTCTGCGTAAGTAATTGGTACAAATGGAAGGCCAAAGCATAACGTATGTAAGACACACACATAGGGTATGTAAAGAAACAAATGTTTAAGGATACAGCTGCAATGCTAGACTGTCTATGCCCTTCATTTCTTCATTCAATCTGCCCAAAATAGGAAAATCAACGTTTTGTTATGCTGCAAAAGCAAACTCCCCCGGTATTTCCCAGCAAAAAGAGAAAAAAGTTGCCTAAAACTTTAATTCCTCTCCATCCTAAAACTAAGAAAGCACCCAACAGATACTGAGACTCAAAAGTTACTGAGATAGTCGTCTATCAGTGCATTGCATTAGCAGATTTGCTCAAAAGAAAACAAAGTTAAGAACTTCCATGAGAAAGTATTCCTGCGGCCAGTCATCGCAAGGATGTGCGCCACACGTTAATAGCAAACATCTCTACAAATAACACACCGCAAAAATACTTTTATAGATGACATACATTACAGTAGGAAATTAAGATACTTAGAAAACAAATGACGGCATGTTAGATAGTCCGATATCTATTATATGAAGAACAAGAAATGGTCCTTGCAGAAACCACAATTCACGAATCACAGTTATTGCAGACATGTTCATATCATATTATGCACAAATAATTACGAGTTATCCTACCACATTCAAAGCCATTTCCATTTTCCGCTATCTATTAAATCGTAAGACAAAATGATTAGAGCATTCAATAATTACCTGAGACTTGAATTTATATACCGATTTCCCTTGGTAGCAGAATCAAGCACTGAAATTGAAAATTCAAGAACATTATTATCTTCCAGTATTTCACAATTCAAATCAATGATCAGAAAGTTCACTTTTACACAAACAGATACCGGATTCTTGAAGGCGGCCAGCAGCCTCGCTAAAGCAATGCATGTGATCAACCGAGTTGCTAGTGACCTTCATACAACATCGTCCATAATCAGATAAATTTTCAAGTCCTTCAATTATTATCTAATATCAAGCGAACTCGAAAGAAAAAAAATTAAAGGATTGCAGAAATTTAATTTTCCTTGTGTTCTTCACTTTCTCGGCAACCAAACACAAATTCGAAGTAAATAAACTGAAATAAAACGCGGGAGAGACCTCAGAGAGAGCCAACCGAAGGGAGGCGAAGAGAGTGGTGAAGCTGTCGGCGATGGCGAGAGAGTCTCTCTCGACCACTTCGAGAGTTCGGAATATCTCGGTCTGGTTCAGCTCGGG